TATGTCCCTACGACACATGTGTTGTGTCCCCTCTCCAACATGTGTTATATCCCTACCACACATGTGTTATGTCCCTCTCCAACAGGTGTTATGTCCTCTCCAACAGGTGTTATATCCTCCAACATGTGTTATGTCCCTCTCCAACAGGTGTTATGTCCCTCTCTAACAGGTGTTATATCCTACCACACATGTGTTATGTCCCTCTCCAACAGGTGTTATGTCCCTCTCCAACAGGTGTTATGTATCTCTCTGCATCATGTGTTATGTCCTCTCAACATGTGTTATGTATCTCTCCAACGTGTGTTATGTCCCTCTCCAACATGTGTTATGTCCCTCAACGTGTGTTATGTATCTCTCCAACGTGTGTTATGTCCTCTCCAACATGTGTTATGTATCTCTCCAACAGGTGTTATGTCCTCTCAACGTGTGTTATGTATCTCTCAACGTGTGTTATGTCCCTCTCAACATGTGTTATGTCCCTACCACACATGTGTTATGTCCCCTCTCCAACAGGTGTTATATCCCTACCACACATGTGTTATGTCCCTCTCCAACAGGTGTTATGTCCCTCTCCAACAGGTGTTATATCCTACCACACATGTGTTATGTCCCTCTCCAACAGATGTTATGTCCCTCTCCAACAGGTGTTATATCCCTACCACACATGTGTTATGTCCCTCTCAACAGGTGTTATGTCCCTCTCCAACAGGTGTTATATCCCTACCACACACGTGTTATATCCCTACCAACACATGTCTTATGTCCCTTTTCAACATGTGTTATGTCCCTTTCAACATGTGGTATGTCCCTTTCCAACGTGTATTATGTCACTCTCAACAGGTGTTCTGTCCCTTTCCAACATGTGTTATGTCCCTTTCCAACATGTGTTCTGTCCCTCCACAACAGGTGTTATGTCCCTTTCCGCATGTGTTATGTCCCACTCCAACATGTGTTATGTCCCTCTCCAACATGTGTTATTTCCCTCTCCAACATGTGTTATGTATCTCTTCAACAGGTGTTCTGTCCCTTTCCAACATGTGTTATGTCCCTCTCCAACATGTACTATGTCCCTTTCCAACATGTGTTATGTCCCTCTCAACGTGTGGTATGTCCCTCTCCAACATGTGGTATGTCCCTCTCCAACATGTGGGTATGTCCTCTCTCAACATGTGGTATGTCCCTTTCTAACATGTGTTATGATTGTGTTGAAAGACCAAGCAATTTACCATGTTTGTTCACAAACCTCACTGAAAATTTCCTTAACGGCTCGTTCTTCTATCCAGATCGTCGTTATATGTTTCCGATGATTTCAATGCTGGAATGCTGTTAGTGGTAGATAATGTCTACCATCGAGACACTATCAAACTTAATTACGATTAATGCATTTCGTCAGCACCTTTCAGTCCTAACTATGTTACTGCAGGTTTTTCTGCATTACTGTATACACTGAGAGTGTATCCCACATAGAAATGCTTATAGTAAACTATATTTCCTTATAATACGTGATTGAGCATGTCTTCATAATTACGTGTCCTATGTGTGTCACAATGTTTTCATTACATAGAACATTGTACAATTTTGAAATTGTCATAAGTTAAATTTAATTTTATATCTATTCCAGTCCCATAGGCCCAAGTGCAGTATACACATATATATCACATACAAAGTGGTGGTACAATAAATAGAGGCAGACTCATCTTTTAAAATATATAACGGACAATTCTCTCATTAACCTGCAGAGCTTGAGAGATACGAATAATGAAATACATAGGCAGAGTGGTGAGGGAACCATAGATCTTGCCCACCTCCTTAACCCTCTTTGGTGCATGGAAAAGGTTTCACTTGCAAAAGCTGACGTTTCAGTAGAGCAAAAATGTAAATTTGAAGGTCCATTAAACATTCAAAAATATTCATTGAACAAAGGTTTCCAACTCTTTGTTGAAATGAATCAATATTTCCGACACTTTGATTATTCATAATTATACATAGGGTTCTGCCTAATTGTAGCCATGCTAATAAGGAAGCATGTTCTGCCCTGTTCATCCAAGAACTCCACCTGTTACAGCATTGTTTGGCATATCTAGTATCCACCATACATGCAGATTTACATCAATATTTAATGCATCTGGTAAATGAATAGTAATATGTACATACATAATGTTCCCTGAATCCTGACATTCACATATACTCATACTCTGAACCGTTCTTTGCAATTAAGAAGTTGACATCCATACATTCTCTCAAGAATCTGTCGATTGCGTCAAAAATCTTCCTTTTAGACATTTATTTATGCCCTACAATGTCCTGTTGAATTTTTGACCACACATGAAACTCTGCCTCATAACCCAAACGTAATTTCATACTCTTAATCTTTAGAAAATGGAGGAAAACCTGAAGCAGTTCATTACTTCTTTGAGTGGCATTTTAGAAGTTAGGAAGTACAAGATACACAAACGTTATGGATTACAACTAACACGTCACAATTTATTTCTGGACTCACAAAAGTCCAGAAACTCTCCGCACTGTGGACACTTTATGACAAGGGATTCGACCAAATTAAACATGCAGTTGTTATGAATATATGCTAAGGATGAAAAAAATTAAAACTTTTTTTCGAAAACTCAAAATTGAAACTTGCTCGCCCATGGGCCTGCCCATGGGTGAACATTGGCCCATGGGCGAGAATGTTTAGTTTCTCTCCGAATACATGTCTTGGAGGTTGTTAATGAATGAGTGTAAGTTTATGAGCATCATTACACAAATTCCAACTAATTTTGACTTAATTCGGCTAATTTAGAGCGATATTACCAAATCTCGCCCATGGGCGAAAAACATTTTGGCCCATGGGCAAGAATATTTACCTTCACTCAAAATACATGTTTTTTGCATGTTTTGGAGTTTGTAAATGAATGAGTGTATATTTATAAGCAGCATGACACAAAATTCAACTCATTTTGACTGAATTCGGCTAATTTAGAGCGATATTAAAACATCTCGCCCATGTGCTGGGCAGTATACAATGTTTGTGATTCGTGGGGAACTAATCCCCAAACACCAGGTGTCTACCTTCTTTAGTATGTCAGTTATTTGTGATTCCGGGTATTTTGATGGGACTGCAATTCATGTATGTCCTAGTGATCAATAAGACTGGAATGTCAAACAAGGACACAGGCTTCTGGTGTTTTGGTGTGTAAACTTCCTTCTTTGGATGTTTTACATAATACTTTGAAACATCATCAACTAGACAATCTCAACCGTTTAAGGTGATGTTGTCTTTCGTATGTATATTTGCACCACGTTCTCATTCAGAAATGTGGATGATGTCGATTTACCATAAGAACCTCGAGTTAACGAGCGCTAATTGTACCATAAACAAAAACATTACACACAAACGGAAACACAGCTCATTTTTCATGCTAAGTGCTCTTTATTTTTGTTTCATGTCAGATTTGACAAATACAAAATTTTCCACCTATTCCATTTTGGTCCTACTGAGAAGCATCCTTAATACGAATAGTTAAATACAACATATGACAAAATAATCTATGAGCAAGAGGAAGGTTTCTTTAATGCAAAGACTTTGGATTTGGCCCAGCAAATTTGATCAATTAGCAGTAATACCGATATTTGCAAGACGTTATTCTAATTCTTATGCCCCCAACACGTATGTATATGGATAAGCAACGGTAAATATACCGACACCTTCTCTTCTTACGGCCTGCAAAGAGAAATATATGAATATTAATATCAATGCAGCAAAGGAAGAAATTACAACGATATTATTTCCCGTGGATTAATGCATGCAATACATATATCAACTTTTCTGTGGAAATCAGAACAACTTTCAGAATGATATGATCTCCGTATGTTTTAACATGGCAGGGCCCCCGCAGAACATAAGAAATTTACATGACATTTGTAACCGAGTTTTTAATAAAATCATTTCAATCGTATTTACTGCTCTTCGTCAGTTTGTGTTCCATATCAATGCTTTCATCCCAGGTATTCTGTTAACAGCTGGTGATTTGGAGTGTCGATACAGCGCTAGTGGTATGCACAATCGCAAGGGGTGAGTGAGTGAGTTTAAATTTTAAGTCATATCGGCAGTATTTCAGCCATGACTATATCAAGTTATATATTTATGATAATTATACGTAAATTTTAAAAATAAACTGTCACCTTACCGAAGGACAGTAAAACAACTAGTTTATCACAGATGTAAATTTAAAAACTAGTAATTGATTTTATAACATTTAACTATACAAGACGATACAATATAAAAACAGGCTATAGATTGCCAACAACTGAAGGTGGATCACCATACTAAGTACTTCATGGGGTGAACGTTATAAGTATGTACCTTTCTTACATAGATGATGTGCAAGCTCCATAGATGATGTGCAAGCTCCATAGATGACGTGCAAGCTCCATAGATGATGTGCAAGCTGCATTTAGTATGACATGACGATGGAGGACACCAATTATGAGCTTACCGCGTTAACGTAACCCACAACGGCAGTTTATGAGCGAGGTCCATTGCATTCCTTTTTGCATGTACATGTATGAGATTTGTTTTGTTTGGGTGTTTTTAAAGCCGAAGCAATATCCATAGTGTCTTAAGGTATTTATATATCTACCAGTTTTTAATCGTATTATATATTTCAATTTAATAATTTTCTACATTCGTCTACAATTGCTAACATCTGATGGGATGGTATAAATCCAGCTAGGGTCCATGCAGGAAGCAAATATACTGTAAGTCCCCTTGGTCCCTAGTATGGTGATCTAACTTCACTTGTTGGCAATCTATAGCGTGTTTTTATATTGTTTTGTCATCTAGTTATAAAATTTAGATTTCATTACTAGTTTCAAATTTATATCTGCGATAATCTAGTTGTTTTACTGTCCCTCGTTGACAATAAATAAATTTACTTTTATTTATTTTATTATGAATCCATAATTTGTTTTAGTCACGAAATGGCTGAAATACTGTTGATGTCACTTAAAATCTTAACTCACTCCAGCCCAATGGCGGCTGTCTGTAAATAACCGGGTCTGGCCGAGACAATCCGGTGATTGATATTACGAGCACGATCCACGTACCTGTGGTGGTTGCATCTGTTTCAGGCACCAGCTCATAGACAACACGTCCTGCACATTGTGGGACCAGAGCGACGATGGCAGCAGATGTTTCAGCGTTGGCCTCTTGTCTGACATCGGTCTCTGACGCTTGCACAAAGTCAATCTGTTGACGGAATGATTGATTAAATAATGGCTCAGCAATTCCGCCATCTTAAATAACATGACTAAACGAAAAGAAAGTACGATTCCGACATTCATGAACACGTGTGAAAGAGTGGGTGAGTTTAGTTTTACGCCGCATATTCCAGCTATATGGCGACTCGTGTGAATAAACCACAATCAATGTACAATCCCGACATTCATAAATACGTGTTTATGAACCAGTTTTCAATATACTGTTGCCGACATTCATAAATACATGTTTATGAACCAGTTTTCAATATACTATTCCCGACATTCATAAATATGTGTTTATGAACCAGTTTTCAATATACTATTCCCGACATTCATTAATACGTGTTTATGAACCAGTTTTCAATATACTATTCCCGACATTCATAAATATGTGTTTATGAACCAGGTTCAATATACTATTCCCGACATTCATTAATACGTATGAATGAACCACTTTTTAATATACTATTCACGACATTCATTAATACGTGTTTATGAACCACGATCAATATACTATTCCCGACATTCATTAATACGTGTTAATGAACCACTTTTCAATATATTATTCCCGACAATCATGAACACGTGTTTATGAACCACTATCAACTAGGCGTTAAATGGTGAAATAAAGGAAATAACACAGAAGAACTGAGAAAGTGCGATTATATATAATTTATATATTATGTGTACTTACTCCATCTGGTAAGGGGACCGAACGGTGAAGATAGCATGCCGATATCTCGTTTCCAATTTGGAGAACAGAAAGGGTCTGTGAAGAAAACGTAATCTGTTCAAAGAGGTATGTATCGATAAAAATGATGTGCAAACTTCATGATTCCGTTTTGAGGAACCGGGGAGGGGGGTTGAGTTTCACGTCGACCAGCACTATTTCACCCATATAGCGAGTGAGTGAGTTTAATTTTAAGCCGCACTCAGCAATATTCCAGCTATATGGCGGCGGGGTCTGTAAATAATCGAGTCTGGACCAGACAATCCAGTGATCAACAGATTGTGCATCGATCTACACAATTGGGAACCGATGACATGTGTCAACCAAGTCAGCGAGCCTGACCACCCGATCCCGTTAGTCGCCTCTTACGACAAGCATGGGTTACTGAAGATCAATATTCTAACCCGGACCTTCACGGGTACAGCCATATAACGACGAGAAGTCCCATGCATGAGAATATCTGTGAATATCTGTTACTGATATAAGCTTCTGTGGGGGTGGCTTCATATTTTACATTCACTGAGAAATGAATGAAATAACAAGTGACAAATTCAGCTTATCAGAATGCAAATAATTACAATGAACACAAAGAAACCGTAAGTATTTTACACAAACTATTAATTACATGTGTATATAAATGAAAACGGAAGTGGGGAAGAAAGGATATACACTTCAGTTTTCTCATGAAAAAATAATATGGTGGTTTCAACATCACGAATCTTTTAACATTGCGTCGCTTAAGCATTGAAACATTGAGAGCAAGACTAGCAGAGTCGTGAAGCTGAATCTCAAATCATAAACGTGACCTAGACTGTACCACATATAAATCAGACTCTCACCTCGTTCGCAAAATACTGTGTGTCGATGAGCGTTCCATTCTTGTACCTCGTTACCGTCTCGGAACCGCACGTCAGAGCTTCTACGTCATCTTCAATGTCCATAAGGGTGCACTATTGAAACATGCAGACAATATGTTACAGTGCGTTGAATTCGTGTCAAAGACAATCTCGGAACTAAGGTGTAAGAGTAAATCAAGGAGAAATGGCTATTGAAAGGTGCCCTCTTGAGAGAGTGAATTACTGAGTCAAAAAGGAAACTTCACAAAATGTAATTTGAAAAATAATGAATAATTTTTCTCTGATGATACATCTATGTATCCGAAATGGGATCACTATCTTTCGACTCTAGAAACACGTTAGCAAAACCCACTCAAACCCATCCATTCGTCGTGCAAATGACGTTAGTGCCAAAACAGGTTTTGCACGTGCAGTCGATCACGTGATCTTCGCATCGAAGTTTTCTTCATATGCACGTGTTTGCATTGGCCTCAAGAATTGAAAAAAAACGCTTTTAAACCACAGTTCTAACGGTACTTGAAATGCCACGATTGTCAAATGTGCAACGTGAAGAGCAATGGGATGCAGCCGTCGTACTGTGTATGACTTGCGAGGTCGTCTACAACAAACTGGCACCACTTCTGATCGCCCAAGGTCGGGTCGTCCACGTGTGACGTCACGAGCAGAAGACCGTCAAATCGTCCTACGTCACCTACGTGACAGATTTCTGCCGGCTACACGAACCAGGGCTGAGATGTTTAGAGGTCGACTGTCCTCACAGACCCTTTGAAATCGGTTGCGGGCTGCCAATCTTCATTCTCGACGTCCATATCGTGGGCAAATATTGACGCCGTTTCATCAACGTCAACGTCTGCTGTGGGCCCAACGTCACCTCCGATGGACCCAGAGAGACTGGAATCGAGCCGCCTTTAGCGATGAATCCAGGTTTACCCTCAGATTCGCGGACGGCAGGCATAGAGTCTGGAGACGACGTCGTGAACGGTATGCCCAATGTTGTGTACAGGAAGTCGACAGATTCGGGGGCGGAAGTTGCATGGTGTGGGGTGCTTTCTGTGGGAACAACCGTTCCCGACTTCTGGTCATCCGTGGAAACCTCACAGCTGCTGCTTACCGCGACCAGGTGCTCACCCCTGAACTCGTTCCTTTCATGGCGGCTCATGGCCCAGGTCTACAGTTCCAGCATGATGATGCTCGGCCGCATACCGCGATGTTGACACGAAATATCCTTCAAAACGCTGGAATCAACGTCATGGACTGGTCATCGAGGTCCCCTGGCCTTAATCCAATAGAGCACGTTTGGGATGCACTTGAGAGAAGGCTTCGTGGTCCAACCAACCTCAGAATTTGCAGGAACTTGGCGCTGCCTTGCAAGAGCAATGGCCAAGAATCCCCAACCACGTGTTCACAAGCATCAGGCAGTCGATGAGGGGACGGCGTTTGGCAGTGGTGAATGCGCGGGGCGGCCATACACGACACTGAACTGCGAAATTTCTCATTTGTATTCTTGTGACTTGACATTCTGTATACCCATGTTTTGGAACGGCGGTGTAGCCTAATGGAACTGGTTATGGCACTGTCAGTGTATCGAGTACATCACACAGATCTCAGCAATGAAATAATAACAATTTAACCATCTTGCCATCTCTTGTTCTGTTATAGTGCCCTGGAGAAAGAATGTGAAGTTTCTTTTTTGACTCAGTATATTTATGGCTACATTAAACAATATTCTTTGTGATCACGTCAGTGGAAGGGGGATAACAGTGTGGCTGAAACTCGTGATCACGTCAGTGGAAGGGGGATAACAGTGTCGCTGTAACTCGTGATCACGTCAGTGGAAGGGGGATAACAGTGTCGCTGAAACTCGTGATCACGTCAGTGGAAGGGGGATAACAGTGTCGCTGAAACTCGTGATCACGTCAGTGGAAGGGGGATAACAGTGTTGCTGAAACTCCTGATCACCGAAATGGTGGTGACAAATCAGTGTGAATCCTGGAATCGAACCCAGAATTACTACTTTGCATCAACTTGTACGTGGGTGGTGTCTGTTTAAGAATTTACTTTGCAACCAATTCCTTCTTATGACCAGCAGTTCCTTAGGTCCGTAACTTTGAATATTATATGTTTGTTAAATCATTCTATACTCACAGTGTGGATCGCGGGGATACCAAAACAGCCATTGATGCTTATTGCAACAAGAGTCAGGATTGCAACCTGAAAAATATAAACAAAAGGTAAACTATTGTTTTCGGAATAATGACTTGTCAAGAATTGAATACGAACATTCTATATATGCTATTATATGATGCGACGACAATTTAAACGTCAATCACATTGCGGTATGTAAAGTATCTACAACGAAGCTGATTCTGAAATAGCCAATTTCGGAACGACAAACCTTGACCTGATTGACAAAGGTATATGATATATGGAGAGAGAGTTTATTTCGCATAATGGCCTCATTACCTAGAGTACAACAATACATAATTGTTTGTTTGTGTGCATACAGTACATATACATAAATATAGATAAGGTATAGGATATACGGGATCTATCCAAAAGGTCGCTCTTACAGCATAATATAGATGTTGGTCCGTAAAACAGCTACGAAATGCCTATTAAATGTTCAGAGACAAAATTAAACTGAAAAAGACAAAAGACGCTCAGAAACACCGACGCCTCTGTATAAGCATGGATAAAGCGTCTGCGAGGAGTGAGTGAGTTTAGTTTAACGCTGCACTCAGCAATATTCCAGCTATATGGCAGCGGTCTGTAAATAGTCGAGTCTGGACAATCCAGTGATCAACAGCATGAGCATCGATCTGCGCAATTGGGAACCGATGAGATGTGTCAACCAAGCCAGCGAGCCTGACCACCCGATCCCGTTAGTCGCCTCTTACGACAAGCATGGGTTACTAAAGGTTCATTCTAACCCAGACCTTCACGGGTGCGTCTGCGAGGAGGACGGAATAGCAAATTCCGATCCCCGGCAGTGTCATACAAAAAAACAAAGAAATACATTTAAGAAAATATAAATATGTTTTAAACGGGGCGATGGGGTGGCCTAGTGGTTAAAGGGTCAGGCAGAAAACCCGAGGTCGATTCTCCACATGGGTACAATGTGTGAAGCCCATTGAAGCCCATTATCCCGGCCGTGATATTGCTGGAATATTTCTAAAAGCGGCGTAAAACTAAGGCTCACAAACTCTCACACACACACAAATAATCATTGAAAGGTTGTACTTGTTACCAATTCTATCGTTCGACAGAAATAATGAGGTTTTCGTGTTTAAAGTTCCTTTCAGAATAATGAAGAACAGAATTGAAAGAAAAGTAGAAAATAGTGAGAAATATGAAGACTATCTACCTTGGTAATCATGATGAGGCTCTCTGGGAGAATTCTTCACAACGAAACGGCTTGGCAACTGCTTGTCGATCCAAGTTGATTTCCCCAAATGTGCGATCCCTTTTATACACTCCAACCTAAAACTCCTTCTACATCCTGTTCCCGAGGACAACCAATGATCTTGCTCGACCGACATCTTCCTGCTTCTTGAAGTGTATCAAGCGCCAAATAAAAAACATGCATACAATATGATTGTTAAACCGGCTTACACCAGCTCAGACTTGATTTAGCAAGACACCCTGTTTAAGTACAAGATTTATTTGTGAAGGACAAAAAATAATACTCCTTGCAATGGCTTGCACGGTCATTTGCCAATCTCAGATAAACGTTTAGTTACAGAACAAATAATTAAGTTTTCTTCTCGAATTTCCACTATATATGAATTTGCAATTACTTGAATGAAACATCTACAACTATTCCGATATCTTTGTAGCAGGGCGTGGAGTCATCCCGCAGATGACATCCTTACCTTGTCAGCTTGCTGACGGGGTTAACCTCTTTGGTCATGTGGACAAGGCGTCCGACTTCGGATCAGAAGGTCCGCAGGGGACTCGGAAATGGTATGGCCGCTATATATTGTATTCATTGTCCGATTCAAATACATAAGAGAGGTTACACAGTGACTGTCTATTATCCCGTTGTAGAGATACATGTGTGGTTGATACAACATCCTTTAAATCGCAACTAACCCTTTTGGGGATTTGATTTAGGAAAGCCTCCCCACACACACACACACTCTCTAACACACACACACACTCACACACACACTCACACACACACACACACACACACACACACACACACACACACACACACACACACACACCACCACCACCACCACCACACACTAACACACCGTTTCACAATGAAGCCGACTGCAAGTGTAACCTTTTAAATTTTACGGTTAAATTCAATGTACAAGTCTTGTCATTTCTTGTTAGCAAGTTTTAGATTTCATCACTAGTTTTAAATGGATTTCTGTGATACACTAGTAGTTTTACTGTTCTTCGTCAACAGGTTTAATTTCTAATTTTATTGATATATGATATCATCATTAATTGTTCTCGTCACGATATGGCTGAAATATTGCCGATGTGACGATAAATATTAACTCACTCACTCAATGTACTCAGTTCAGCAGTAGAAAGACAATGACGTACAACAACCTATTTGATAGTTGATTCGGTGCAGTGTGGTAACTTCAGGTGCTGTTATGGGGCAGTGTGAGGTTCATGAAAAGCGGGACAAGTAGATTGCTAACATTCTATCACAGTACTATTTGGGCTGTGCCTGGAACATGAAAAGGACACAAGTAGATCGCTAATATTCTATGATAGTACTGTCATCGGTTGTTCCTGGAATATGAAAAAGGGACAAGTAGATCGCTAATATTCTGTGACAGTACTGTCATCGGTTGTCACTGGAATATTGAAAAGGGGACAAGTAGATCGCTAATATTCTATGACAGTACTGTCATCGGTTGTTCCTGGAATATGAAAAGGGACAAGTAGATCGCTAATATTCTATGACAGTACTGTCATCGGTTGTTCCTGGAATATGAAAAGGGACAAGTAGATCGCTAATATTCTATGACAGTACTGTCATCGGTTGTTCCTGGAATATGAAAAGGGACAAGTAGATCGCTAATATTCTATGACAGTACTGTCATCGGTTGTTCCTGGAATATGAAAAAGGGACAAGTAGATCGTTAATATTCTATGACATTACTGTCATCGGTTGTTCCTCGAATATGATAAAGGACAAGTAGATTGCTAATATTCTATGACAGTACTGTCATCGGTTGTTCCTGGAACATGACAAGGGGACAAGTAGATCGCTAATATTCTATGACAGTACTGTCATCGGTTGTTCCTGGAATATGAAAAAGGGACAAGTAGATCGCTAATATTCTATGACAGTACTGTCATCGGTTGTTCCTGGAACATGACAAGGGGACAAGTAGATCGCTAATATTCTATGACAGTACTGTCATCGGTTGTTCCTGGAATATGGAAAAGGGACAAGTAGATCGCTAATATTCTATGACAGTACTGTCATCTGTTTTCACTGGAATATTGAAAAGGGGACAAGTAGTTCGCTAATATTCTATGACAGTACTGTCATCGGTTGTTCCTGGAATATTGAAAAGGGGACAAGTACTTCGCTAATATTCTATGATAGTACTGTCATCGGTTGTTCCTGGAATATGAAAAAGGGACAAGTAGATCGCTAATATTCTATGACAGTACTGTCATCGGTTGTTCCTGGAACATGACAAGGGGACAAGTAGATCGCTAATATTCTATGACAGTACTGTCATCGTTTGTTCCTGGAATATTGAAAAGGGACAAGTAGATCGCTAATATTCTATGACAGTACTGTCATCAGTTGTTCCTGGAATATGAAAAAGGGGACAATTCGATCGCTAATATTCTATGACAGTACTGTCATCGGTTGTTCCTGGAATATGAAAAAGGGACAAGTAGATCGCTAATATTCTATGACAGTACTGTCATCGGTTGTTCCTGGAACATGACAAGGGGACAATTCGATCGCTAATATTCTATGACATTACTGTCATCGGTTGTTCCTGGAATATGAAAAAGGGACAAGTAGATCGCTAATATTCTATGACAGTACTGTCATCGGTTGTTCCTGGAATATTGAAAAGGGACAAGTAGTTCGCTAATATTCTATGACAGTACTGTCATCGGTTGTTCCTGGAATATGAAAAAGGACAAGTAGATCGCTAATATTCTATGACAGTACTGTCATCGGTTGTTCCTGGAACATGACAAGGGGACAAGTAGATCGCTAATATTCTATGACAGTACTGTCATCGTTTGTTCCTGGAATATTGAAAAGGGACAAGTAGATCGCTAATATTCTATGACAGTACTGTCATCGGTTGTTCCTGGAATATTGAAAAGGGACAAGTAGTTCGCTAATATTCTATGATAGTACTGTCATCGGTTGTTCCTGGAATATGAAAAAGGGACAAGTAGATCGCTAATATTCTATTACAGTACTGTCATCGGTTGTTCCTGGAACATGACAAGGAGACAATTCGATCACTAATATTCTATGACAGTACTGTCATCGGTTGTTCCTGGAACATGACAAGGGGACAAGTAGATCGCTAATATTCTATGACAGTACTGTCATCGGTTGTTCCTGGAATATGGAAAAGGGACAAGTAGATCGCTAATATTATATGACAGTACTGTCATCAGTTGTTCCTGGAATATGAAAAAGGGGACAATTCGATCGCTAATATTCTATGACAGTACTGTCATCGGTTGTTCTTGGAATATGGAAAAGGGACAAGTAGATCGCTAATATTCTATGACAGTACTGTCATCGGTTGTTCCTGGAATATGAAAAAGGGGACAAGTAGATCGCTAATATTCTATGACAGTACTGTCATCGGTTGTTCCTGGAATATGAAAAAGGGGACAAGTAGATCGCTAATATTCTATGACAGTACTGTCATCGGTTGTCACTGGAATATGAAAAAGGGACAAGTAGATTGCTAATATTCTATGACAGTATTGTCATCGGTTGTTGCTGGAACATGAAAAAGACATCTTGTAGGCTTTATTAGTCAATGAAATATAGCGAAATTGCACACTGGGAATGCAGACTTATCCGTCTTTGGCACCAACTCGAGGAAAGTCAGTTTGAGTGTCACATGGAGACGTCAATACCTCGTGTGACCACCGTGGGCATCCAGAACTGCATCGAACGAATAAGTCTCAGAATCTCGTGTTGCCCAATCGCAGCCTGTAGTGCCTGTGCGTGTTGCTGAAGTGTCTGGGGCTGAGGGTTACGGCGTCGCACCCGTCTGTCCAGGGCATCCCACATATGTTCGATCGGGTTTAAGTCCGGTGATCTTGAGGGCCAGGGGAGCACATTGATGTTGTGGTTCTGGAGGAAGTCTCTAGTGTGACGTGCTGTGTGGGGCCTGGCATTGTCCTGTAGAAACAACTCCCTCTGGCGATCAATGATGGGAAGGAGGTGTTGGCGTAGGATTTCGTCACACTACCGTTGAGCTGTCAGGTTGCCCTGGATCATCACCAAATCACTTCTCCTACTGCAGGTGATCGCTCCCCACATCCTAACTCTGCCCCGGCCGAATCTGTCCACCTGGGGAACGGAAGCGTCGTCGAAACGTTCACGTCGACGTCTGTACAGCCGCATTCTTCCATCGCGTCGTTCCAATAGAAATCGTGATTCATCACTGAACCAGATTCTACGCCAATTCGGTAGGTTCCAGGCCTGAACGTTGGTGCACCATTGAACTCGATGTCGACGATGTTGTTGTCGAAGCACAGGGCCAAAATAAGGTCTTCTGGCACGTAAACCAGCCTCTCTTAACCTGTTCCTGACGGTCTGAGCAGAAAGCCTCCTCAATCCGGGTATTTGTCGAGCGGTACTGGTCGCCGTAGCTGTTCGATGACGCAGGTGATGTACCCGGATGTAGCGATCCTGCGCCGCAGTGGTCGCTCGAGGTCGCCCACTACGAGGGGCATCTGCTACCACATTCTGCCGGTGATATCTCTCCCAGAGCCGTAAAATGTCGCTTTGGTGAACATTCATGCGTCGGGCAACTGCACGTTGAGACTGGCCAGCTTCAAGCAAACCAATGGCGATATGACGGTTAGCTTCACTTAGACGTGGCATTTTGCGTTCGTCAACAATATTCCAAATACAGTGAATAATCGACAGACAGCGATCAACCTTTTATACCCATCATTGAGACTATCTGATCCCCAACTTTCACGTGCATTGCATGTGAATTGTGTATTCTGTGACACTACACGCCGAAATTGAAAATCATGCTGTTACATACGGGTATTTTACGGATGGTGCGTTTTGTTGTGATGTTTCAAAACATAAACACCATAGGACTCATAAACAGAGCAAAACCTTTTGTAAAATGAATCACGTTTTAATTCATTGCTACATGAAATTGCTATTTTCATGATGCGTTTCTTTTTTGGGAGAGTATATATATATATATATATATTTGGATGGGTCAGAATTTTGACTCCCACAACACTGATAAAATAATTATTTTGAATACCTACCAACTACATGTTTATCGTTACTACATCGCCACAACAGTAATATAAATATATCCCTTTAATCATTTAGTGTACTGGGCCCTCACATGTCTCTTCTATGTGAAACGTGTGTGAAGAAAATTAGGCCAGAAACTGATCATGGGCACTCATCATGGGCACAAATTCTTCCTCATCCAGGTATGTCTTCATATGAGTCAGAATGTCTGCTCGGACTGAGTGAGTGAGTGAGTTTAGTGTTACGCCGCACTCAGCAATATCCCAGCTATATGGCGGCGGTCTGTAAACAATCGAATCTGGACCAGACAATCCAGTGTTCAATCAACAGCATGAGCATCAGTCTTCGCAAATTGGACACGATGACATGTGTCAACCAAGTCATCGAGCCTGACCACCCGATCCCGTTAGTCGCCTCTTACGACAAGCAGAGGTTACTCAATTCTAACCCGGATCTTCACGGGTTTCTGCTCGGATTGATTATCGAAGACCGATGATCTGAATATAAAAGACCAATAAAACTATCCAGTAGCTAGATATTTGCATAAAGGCTAATAAATATAAAAGCTATATTAAGAGAAAACATTTGTGTTTCTAATAATCAGCTTACACTTTATAATATCAGGCGTAATATTCTAGCAGGTCCTGACGTTCTCAACATATGTACTGTTAGGTACAGTCGAACCTGATCCATCATATTTTTTACCGTTAAAAACTTGACAACCGTGTCCGATGTTATTATATATTACATATTTGATATTTACTTTTTTGGCAATATTTGTACGAACCTTTTCACCATGTTATGAACACCTGCTATCATCTCTATTTGATAGGATGCTTAACCACAATATAATTACATAATAATCCGTTGATATTTATGACTACGAACGAAATCTTTCAAGCGTTTATTTACGGTGTTTGAACACTAACAAAATTCTAATGAATATTGTTCAATGGATTCCAAGGGGGCATTGCCACATACATCAGCACTGAACAAAAAAGTATTATATTGCCAACAGTGAATGATCACACTGTCATGGAAATAGGTTGTGAATATACACAGCTTCAGCTAAATGTATACTGACTATGTTGTTGTAAATAATAACAGTGCACGCGGAGCTACCATTATGAGATATATAACGAGGGACAGAGAAGCTCACCTTGCAGGATTAAACCCATATTGTATAGAGATATCATATATTGGTGCTTTGTCGATGTGTTCGTTGGTATGTTGGTTTAACACTACGGTGAGCAATGCTACAACATTATGACGGCGGTCTGAGAATAACAACATCTGGGACAGAAAATCCAGTGATTGACATCATGAGCACCGAACATGGCAGGTGGGCATCAACCACGTCAGTGAGCGTGACCTCCCGATCCAGCGAGTGGCTTTTGGTATGGGTTCTTGAAGTCCAGTTCTAACCAAGATCTTCACGGGACTCCAACTGCTTTAAATTGTATTGACACCACATAAAAGACGCTTCTAATAAATCCAGACAAGTGAAACGGCATCCCAAATGTGTAGTCTATTGACTATAGCTTAATAGCCTCTGACCACGTAAGCTAAAGTTGTCCGCTTAATAGATAGACTCTGACCAGGTGAGCTAAAGTTGTCTGCTTAATAGATAGACTCTGACCAGTTGAACTAAAGTTGTCTGCTTAGTAGATAGACGCTGACCAGGTGAGCTAAAATGATGTGATACTGAAATCCAATGATGCATCGGCCCATATATATGTCAGCCTTATCATTGACGGATATAAATTGTTCGGTGGTCTGTCACCATCAGTACTTGAAGCTGGTTAGAAGACACAACACCAGGTACGTACATAGATTTATATATACTTGAAACCGTAATGCAACCATTTATCAAAGTGAAGGCTTATATGTTTTCAGCGGACCTTCTAACAGTTGAAGAAATGTAAAAGAAATATAGACTTAGAATACCGCTAAGTTTCTCAAAATATTTAATAGAAACAAATTACTCCATTTAAATTGAAAAGAAGCCCCAGTGAGATCTTTAGTGACAGCTGGAATTGCCTTGTTTAAGGATTTTACAATACAGAACAGGCTGGGCCGAAGGGAACATGTAAATGCAAGATTGCATGTTTCAATATTCCCTGAAATTATATGTGTTATATTGTCTTAAACTTAAATTTACTAAAATTTCAAATGCAAATATCTTAACTCATTGGTCTAATGGTTAAGGCTGTGGATTTGTAAGTTCAAACCCCACTTACACTAACTAAACTTTTGTAACTAATTTAACTAATGTACATAAAGTATTTAAATTAGCCTCATTTCTAACACTTGTTCATCACATGATATCCCTAAGGAAGCGCATGGTCTAAAAAAGCATGCACTTCAGTCTGTGCCTGACCACCATACTGGAAAGTTGCTTCACCTCACTGTCTGCGAATAACTGCATGTCAAGAAACAAATGCAAGTTACTTTCAACTTATAGCATTTCTAACTTTATTGCATTATTATCATTTGTATTAATAATAAATTATTGGTAAACAATTTTGATAACAGTTCAACGAAATGTGGTTCAAATGTTTAGTCATCCAAATGTATTTGTACAATTTCAATAAGCATTGTAGAGTTTATTAATGCCAAAAGTAAATATGTTTAAAGTGCATTAATGAGCAAAGATTATGAAATTGTTTCTGCTTATATTGTAGTTTTTTTAATCTCATCAGAGCTCATCAGTTTTCATCGTAGCCTGATTCGTTGTCAAAGTGCTCACCAAGTTTCAAGGATGAAATGTTGATGAATTGGTAAATTGTAACCTGCACGGATGTAATAAACTCTGATGCGAGTATCGGATTTTGTTCTTGCATCTACAGAACAAGATGTAGTTAAGGGACATGAGACTCAGCAAGACATATAAGACGTGTTACTAAAGGGCAATAATACTATTAGCAAGATAATCTATTCCAATTTATAAAAATGAGAATACCGGAATAACTACCAGGGGCGTAGCTACCATTTTGAAAAAATGCCGGGCTTACACATGCTGTGAATCCCATGGGGCTTACACTAAAGAATTGGCTTGCTACGCGCCTGTCTACCGAAACAGATTCCAGTGGGTGTTCATTAAAATAGTGTCGACAATATAATGAATCATTGAAAACATGGGTAACCCTTGGTAATTCTTGAGCCAGTGCCTGAGAGGTGTGAAAACTCCATGTGAAGTCGTAGTTTATCGATTCACCGAGATTCATGAAAAAAGAGGCGGCGTGATAGCCTAGTGTGTAAAACGTTCTCAAATTGGGTACTATGTGTGAAGCCCATTTCTTGAGTACCTTGTTTCTGACTAGCGGCGTGTTTAATTTCAATAGCAGCCATAGAATTCTTAAATGACTTAACCATCCATTTTATGGTAAAACTTTGATTGAAAAGCTCATTTGCAAGTATAAATATTTCCTACTAGGTAATATATACGTCACAAAGGTAAGGATGGGGTATTTTGCTTTAAATGAAGGGAGATTTCATGGGAAATTCACCAATTCATATGCTTGAAGACAACGAGACAGTTTCAAGTCAGTCAGGCTTCTCTCCTAATGTAAGCAGACTTTATTGAAATCATTGGTCAGCCTTAATGTGGATTCTGAATAAAATGTACATTCGGTTAGTAATTGCAATTGGCTTGAAACAATTGTTCGTTTTCTTCAGGTTGTTGTTCACGCCAGTTAACATTATTACATCGGAATGTCATGACCAAATACCCGTGAAGATCCGGGTTAGAACTGATCTTCAGTAACCTATGCTTGTCGTAAGAGGCGACTAACGGGATCGGGTGGTCAGGCTCGCTGACTTAGTTGACACATGTCATCGTATCCCATTTGCGAAGACTGATGCTCATGCTGTTGATCACTGCATTGTCTGGTCCAGACTCGATTATTTACAGACCGCCGCCATATAGCTGGAATATTGCTGGGTGCGGCGTAAAACTAAACTCACTCACTCTCTTGACCAAATATACCAAAAGACGTATGGGCGACTACCTCATCTTTGGGTTACGTTGTCACGATGTCAGCATTGTCACTCACTCTGATCTTTGGACACAACCCCCTTCCCCAATCTCCGTGTTTTTGTATGATGATCATTTATATTTTGGGGCGGTGGGGTAGCCTAGTGGTTAAAGCGTTGGCTCGTCACGCCGAAGAACCGGGTTCGAATCCCCACATGTTCTGGTGTCCCCCGCCGTGATGTTGCTGGAATATTGCTAAAAGCGGCGTAAAACCAAACTCAGTCATTCAATCAGTCATTTATGTTTTATATTTTACCCGTTTGTATTTTAAGGCAGAATTGATCCCTTGTTCCCCTGCTTTTGAAATAGTCAACACTCGTTAGTATCTATAAAACAAAAGTTGACAACGGCGTAAAAAAGGATTCACTTCATTTCAGAACCCAAATCTTTAGAGTTACATCAGTTTTGTGTCAGACCAATCGACGCAACAGGATGGATGTGGAAGAACAAGCTGCTGACAGCAATGGTCTCCTTGGTATGGAGACGGTGCTGGTGAGTAAAGAAGGAGGTACAAAGACGATGTCGACTGACCCGGAGGCTGACACTGGCAACCTGACAACACGGAAAACCAAAAAGATGATTTTCAATGTCAGTGATGTTCCACCTATCCCAGCTACGGTGACGCTGGCCTTCCAGGTAGGTTATTACTGTTGTATGTCATTAACGGAAAAAAGAAATAACGTTCAGCCGTGTTTGGCAACAAAACAGCCAGGTTGGTTGGTTTGTTGTTTAACGCCGCACTCAGCAATATTCCAGCTTTATTGTGGCGGTCTGGAAATAATCGAGTCTGGACCATACAGTCCAGTGATCAACAGCATAAGCATCGATCTACGCATAAGGATACGATGACATGTACCAATCACGTCAGCGAGGCTGACCACCCGATCTCGTTAGTCGCCTCTTATGACAAGCATGGGTTACTGAAGATCAATTCAGAACCGAACCTTCTAGGGCTAGAATAGGTGGCATATCAAAAGAAAGGATATTTTCACATTCCGGTTAAGGGAATACCAAAGACATAGGATTTACTAATTACTGATGTATTGACATCTGTGAGTTTCCGGTTACATAGATCCCCAACAGATTTGGCTGATCGCAAGACCAAATGACTCGGTGTTGAAGCCCTGTGACGTAAAGTACTTTAGTTGACTGCTCGTCATTGACAGTGTGCATCGCTGTGTTACAACATCGATCACTGGATTGTCGTGACCATACTCGATCTTTTTCAAACATAGCCAACTGACAAGTACCGCCTTTCATCCGGTATGTGTGTGTCTGTGCCTTGTTTAAGAAAACACACTAGGTGAAAAGCCACCAGTGCCCCATAATCACTAAAACTTCTCACATTAATTCATGTCCTGCAGTCATGTCTAACTACATCGCAAACATTTCCCAGTCGTCGTATGAACCCAAAACAGGTTGTTCATCTGTTTTTGACCTTATACAGGTCAGTGTCTGTTGCAAGACTAAAATCGGTCTAGATATGTTTAAGGATTGAGTTCCTCCTTTAGTTTCACTAGTTCATGTACCTAAAACACTGCACAGCATAATCTGTTTAAAGCCGTCTTTTTATCAATGCTTCTCGATGTGGAACTGAAAACAGTTTGTCATGTTGCTTGGACTTTATGTGACACGGGGGATTTCAGTGACATTTCTCTGCCTTGCTGTTCCACTGATGAGCAAGTGTTATTTAGGTACCGGAATATGACACGTGAACACAGCTCAATACACAGAACAGTTCCAGTCGGGCCCACATGGAATATTAATATTCCAATATGTACTTATTAGCTCGGATACGGACAAGTGATGTTGCATGAATTAGCTGTTAATGTCAATATAAAGCGTCAAGCACCAGAGAATAACTAATCTCGATTTCTTTTTATACAGATGAAACAAAAAGATGCCGTGTTTTTTTAATTCATCACTGAAAATATTATGACACCCGAAGTTCGCGAACTGTAAAGCATACCCTGCCCTACCATGCAGTAACAGCCGCCACACACGATTTCACTCACGTACTCAATATACAGCTGGGGGCGGTGGGGTAGCCTAGTGGTTAAAGCGTTGGCTCGTCACGCCGAAGACCCGGGTTCGAATCCCCACATGGGTACAATATGTGAAGCCCATTTCTGGTGTCCCCCCGCCGTGATGTTGCTGGAATATTGCTAAAAGCGGCGTAAAACCAAACTCAGTCAGTCAGTCAATATAAAGCTTGAATTGAAGACGAGAAGGAAAGTGGCCATTTATGATTCTCACCAATGCCGCTATGTTGTGTTGTATCATGCGATCGTCATGTGTACGAAATTACTTCCAATACGGATCCAACCCAGTACTGAGTGAGATCCTTTCAGAATGAGATCATCCGAATGGGATCCTTCCAGCCAGAGTTGTACAACATTTCTCTCTTTCTCCAGCACGTCCTTCAGTCTATGGCGAACCTGCTGTCGGCAGCCATCATATTCTCGGACCTCATCTGCGCCTCCGACCATGAAGAGATCAAGACGAAGATTCTTTCCACGACGATGTTAACGACGGGACTGGCTACTTTGTTTGTGACGACAGTGGGCTGCAGGTAATGCCAGTTCTTGGAGTAGCGAGAAAGTTTGGTTCAACGCCGCTCTCTATAGTAGCCCAGTTACACCACGGCGTCTCAGGGCGGAGCTCGTGAAGTTCCGGACTTGAGGCAGTGCAACAATGGTTAAATTATTGTGAAGAACCAGGTCAGAATTCGTCTTCAGACATAAGTGGCGACTAATGGTATCCCAATTGCGTGCATCGATGCTCGTGATTTTGATCACAGGGTTGATTGGCCCAGACACGATTATGTTAAAGACCACCGCCATATGGCTGGAATATTGCTGAATGCTGCGTTAAACAACAAAAACCAGCCACAAAATTCAAGGGTAAAATGTTGGGTACCCAAGAAGCTTGTTAGAAGAGAGTAAATGTCGGATTGTGAGGCGAATTACGAACTGATTGCGAGTCAGTGAAACGTATTTAGTGGAATAATATCGGCTGCGACGCTAAACAACAAATGCATCTCACAATATATCTCGTACCCTATATAATAAAAATAATGTTTCATTGGTGTAGTAGCAAACGACTAACATATACTCTTGGAAACAAATAAGGGAACATATAAAAGCAAATGTGTTCCTATATTCTTTTCAAGGTTTCTTCGCATGCTTTGTATTGCACTGTAGGTGAAAAGAAGGAAAAGCATAAAGGAACAAGTGTCCTTTCATCCTTTATTTGTTTCCATGAGTAAATTTTTGTTTTGTTTTTGTTTTAAAAAAAGGCTGCCAATATTTCAAGGTCCATCCTTTACATACGTCATACCGTTGATCACAATGGGAACAATGTCTGACTGGAGGTGCCCAAATCAAGAGGAGCTAAGTAAGTATACTATATTAAACACGTATTGGGGCTTACCTTTTTATAATAATTACGTTTTTAAAACATATTTATTGCCTGTATATTAGATGGTTATTTAAGCATGCGCTTCGCTTAGACTTTTTTTTCTCTGTAGGCTAAACACATGTACAGAATTTTATGACCGATCACTAATATGCGATGTGTCAGATGCAACGTTAGACAATTTTAAAGCTTGAAATTATAGCGTTAAACAACCATGATTATAAGGCATTGTTGCTAAAACTATCGTATGATTTGACGTATAACATAGCCTCTTTTTCTCAAAAAGGTTCCTTGTTAGTCACAAATGCGACAAGTCCATTCAGTTAGCATTAGGAATCTCTACTCAAAGCAAAGTCCATTGTACGGTGCCGACTAAATTCAATGCTACGTTTTACTCGTCCCTAATAACTGGGGCCTAATATCTTGAAACGACAGAATGTTGTCCCTTTAACCTGTCGTACAATTGCTCACTACAGTACGTACTTGTACGTACTTGTACGTACCTGGTATTACGCTTAATTTTCCAGCCTTGACCCAAAATATCTGCACTTAAGGTTATACTGATAAAGGTCAAGGTCAAACATTACAGACGTTGGGAAGACATTTATTAGAGCTTTCAAGTTGGATTTTCGGATAAATATATATTGAGACAGTTGTATATATACTCTTACAAAAAATAAACTTGACAGGCTGTTTCGGAGTTTCTGAGTGCATATAACTGATTCAAACATGACATCATTGCTCAGTTACAGTAAAATCATCACTTTACAAATTTCCAAAACATGATTATCCAGAAAGTGTTTAGTAAAACCACAGAGGGCTATTAAAGCCACTTGGTCAGAGTAAAATGTCAGTATTTGGTGTGACCACCATGAGCATCGATAACAGCTTGGCAGCGGTGACCCATAGAAGAAAGGAGATGCCGAATGCTGTGTTGAGGAATGTGTTGATACACGTGCTGAAGAGCTGTGTGCAGTTCTTGTAGTGTCTGAGGTGGCGGATTACACTGGCGCAAGCGTCGATCAAAAGTATCCCAATGATGTTTAATGGGGACAAATCTGGTGATCGAGAAGGCCAAGGTTACAACTGAACATTGTTTTGCTGGAGGAAGACGTGTCAAACACGTGCATCGTGAGGTCGAGCATTGTCATGCTCCAAAGATCACGTTGATGTAGAGAACGACGTGACGTTGAACTGGTCTTCTGGCAAAAGTCTGGCTTTCCATAGCCAAATGCGCACTGTTTGGTCGGAGATTCGGAGCAGTCCAGGGATTTGGATTGTTGTGGATGATGCGGCCGTGGTGATTGAACGAAAATGTCGCAACCGGATGTAGCGATCCTGGGCGGCGGTGGTCCAGGTCGACCTGACCTGGGTCTGTCATTAACACTCACAGTATTTTTGTATCGGGTCCGTAGGTTTGAGATGGTCTGTCGGGACACGCTGAAGTGCCTTGCCAAATCATGCAGCGATGTCCGTGCTTGTAAATGGCCAATGGCGTTGTGTCGTTGAGCTTCTGCCAGTCTTTTCATTCTCTTGACGTCTATAGTGGCTTAAAGCAATGCATGTGGAGTACCATTGATGTAGCTTTCTACAGCCTACAGTCATAGGCTTCAGCTCAGGTTGACACACAATTTCATGATGCTCGTGCATTTCATGTAGGGTGCGTTTTAGCGATTCACTACACATGTGAGTGTAACGCTACGTTTTTGTTAAACGAGCTTTTTTTCAAACGTTTTGTTATCGGCAACCATTCCCCACAAGCTGGGATTCAGCATGGATCGGTTTGTGTCAAGTATTTTCCTAAAATTCAAATTTGTCCTATGTCAAGTTTCTTTTTTTTTTGAAGAGTATGTAAACAAAGTAAAAGTTTGGAAAAGTAACATGTTTCGGAAGAGTGCCGGGTATTGCCATTACAGTATGTAGAAAGTGGGTGTTTTAATCCCACAAAAAGGAAGTGACTTGATCCTGGTAGAAAATATCTCTACAGTGGCTGGATATGGGAGGCGTCCGAACCCTCCCATACCGGACAATGAGAATTGGAACAAATTCCATACGGTATGAAATCGTTACTAGGCTGAAAACAGTCACCGAAACTATAATATGCTAAACAGATTATAACAACTGTGATGTATTGACCACCGAATAACATTGGTCTGTAGTTTCTTAAAACCCGTGTAGATCCGGGTTAGAATTGATCTTCAATTACGCATGCTTGTCGTAAGAGGCGACTAACGGGATCGGATGGTCAGGCTCACTGACTTGGTTGACACATGTCAACATATCGCAGTTGCGTAGCTCATGCTGTTGATCACTGGATTGTCTGGTCCAAACTCGATTATTTACAGACTGCCGCCATATAGCTGGAATATTGCTGAGTGTGGCGTAAAACTAAACTCACTCACTCACACTCACTTTCTAAAGCCATGTAGTGTATATCAGTGTTATAAGTAGAAACCGATTCTTACATATCATGTATGCCTGTATTCAAGGAGGCATCTACAATGAGACATCAACGAACTACACGCTGAACCCTCGGGGGATGATCCCTGTACCAGATGACGTCATCCTGTCCAGAATACACACGGTAATTGTGATGACGTTTTGTATGGGTGTCAGGCGCTTCAAACTCGATTATACTAAAATATTATCCAATAGTTCATGCTAGCTATTCTCGAAACGTTCGTAGCCCTACGAACTTCTTAAGCCCATTCTTAACATTGGCTACGATCAAAGTTAAGAATTCTTAGGGCTACGAACATTTCGAGAATAAGGGCGCTGATCACTGATGATCAGAAAGATTTGGCTCGGTTAGTCTTTTCAAGAACTCCTGGTATCCTCGCTTATTTTCACTGATCCATCGGTCGAAGTAAAGTCACTTTTTTCCCTTTTACGTCGAGTGACAAATTTATAGACCCGTTTCACAATGCCCTCTTACCGGTACGACCTCGTAAAGCAGGTCGCACACAACCTCTTACATTTACTTTTTACCCCGTTTCACAATAGCAAAGACCTCATATATTTACACTGTGCCGTAAATAGCCCAAAATTTAGGACCCCGATTGACCAGTCGTAAATGCTTTAGGAGGTCGTAAACACTATAAAGATGGCGTCAACGAATATGATACTGCAATTGATTAAAAACGCGCAAACAAAGAAGACCTAGAATATTTAGAGACAGATCAAACGTGCGTGATATATTTAGAATTTTATTGGACTTCAAATTGAAGGTTGAGGAGGAAGGACATATATGCCCCTCTGGCACCCAGGGGGTAACAGCGATGATAGTTTGTTTGTTTTTATCGCAGCCATCGCTAGTTCGAATCCGTCATAGTTTTATTCTATCTTTACCTTGTAATTTTCAATGGACAGAATCTAAATAATTCATTGATTGATTTTTTTTTACCATAACCTGTACTTTCAATTAAAAGCATAAGTTTGCATTGTTATTCAAACTGTATTTCGATTTTGAAATAGTTTGGGAATAACAAGATAAGTAGGTGCCCGTTCGGTCTCGCTTTATACGTTGCAACAAAGGACCTCTTACACCAATGTACGATATGGATGTTGGACCCCGTCGTACGACATGGATACGACGTCTTTGTGAAACGGTCTTAAAGGAGGTCGGAAGAGGGTCGTAAACACGGTCGTATGGGCTACGACCTCCTAAATTTAGGAGGCTTTTATGAAACGCGTACCAGCACATATTCGAGACTGATTTTCTGACATTTCTAAACTGAATTTTCATAATCATTCATGGTACCAAAATTGTTGCTGTAAATGGATATGCTTGGCTTATTGGACCCAGAAACGATGCTTTGAAAGGTGAGGGACAGTGGGTTTATGCAGGTGTTAGAAACCCATGAGCACTATATAGTTGTAACGAACCATCTAACACAGAGAAAAATGGGATTCAAACCAATGATCATAGTTTCCGGCACACGTAAGGGACACAACTCAGTATTGTAAACTGGAGGCCCTTGGACGATTTGTCCACGTGGTTGTGTTGAATGTCAAGCACAATCTCAGTATATGTTGGTGTGAGGGGATTAAAAATGAGCGATGAGGATACCAAAACCTTGACTTTCCAATTTAAATCTGTTGCAGGTTATGGGTAGCCTGATGCTAGCTGAAGTTATCCACACGCTAATCGGAGTTACAGGATGTGTCGGCTTTCTGCTACGGTTCATAGGCCCCGTGACAATCGTTCCTGCTATCTTACTGGCTGCCTTGTACTTGTTTAAAGTGACCGTGAAGTATTCACAGATGCATTGGGGAGTTGCTTTTGCGTAAGTTATAGTTAGATATTTCAATTACAAGATATTATATTGCGGTGCCCTGTGTCCATACCCCTGCAGCCTTACAACTGAAGGCTTGTGGGATAGCCTGGTGGTTGAAGCGTTGGCTCGTGGCGCCGAACACCTGGGTTTTATTACCTAGATGGGAACAATGCGTGAAGAAAATTTCTGGTGTCCCCAGCTACGATATGAGTGAAGATTAGGGACCGTTCATAAGTTATGGCTATTTGGGGTGATGATGATTTTTATGGAGAAGCATGTACAATGTAAATGCCCCCCCCCCCCCTAAAATGTATGCACAAAGTAAGTGATCCCCCTGCATGTCAAGTACATAATCTATGACCCTCCTTCCCCTTCACATATTTTTAACCACAATTTTTTAATATTTGCAAGTGCAATATTGCTGACCCCAGCCCACCACCCCACCCCAGCCCCAGCCCCAAGTACATGGGTACAAGATTGATGATCCCGCCGACCTCCCCAGAACAAAATGGGTGTCACTCTTATAATTATCATTCCCCACCCCCCACGCCATAAATTATGAACGGTCCCTTAACAGCGGGGAAAAGTAAAACTCACCTTGTAAATGCTGTCGTAAAAGACAGTGTTCTGTTAAATTCTGTGTTATCCCTTTACTGTCAGTTGTTCGTGATGTGAAACGTTGTGGACCAATATACCTCTAGGTAATTTTAAAAAACTTCCATGAGATAAAATATGTATATATTGCTGCACTGCGAGTCAATACCTGTTTTGCTTAGGCCCTCGTGTGGCAGAATGCTTTCACCTTTTCACCTTTAGTCGGAAGGGTACACTGAACCCTGTTTTTAGCAGATATTTCAATTGTCTTGTCTTTATTTCCAGAACTGTAGCCATTGGCGTTGCACTGTCCCTCTACCTTAGACGCGTGAAGATTCCGCTTCCATTTTGGACTCCAAAACGAGGCTGTCACATCATTAGGTCCCAGTTTCATACAGTGTACGCGGTGAGCATTAATGGACATTGATGTTAGTCAGAATAGGACAATGGATTATAGGAAGACATTTATCGCTTTTATTTATGTGAGATGCCGTAGTATGACATAAACTAAAGCGTGTCGTCTCTTGTAGGTCCTTATATCTATATTAATGGGATGGGGTTTGTCCGCCATCTTGACTGGAAGTGGTGCTTTGTCCTCGGATCCTGAAAGTCCCCAGTACTACGCCCGCACGGACTCACGAACATACGTCATCAGGGACAGTGGATGGTTCTATGTTCCTTATCCCGGTGTGTATGAAGTATTAAAAATATAATGTTGAAATGATGAATCTTGATGTGTCAGCGCCATTTCATCGTTGTGTGTGTCAAGTGGTAACAGTACGACAACTGGCATGTTAGGCTAGTGGTATAATCAAAATGGTCAAAGATTTGTTAAACTCGATTCCGGCTCACTGTTGAAAGTAAATCTCCAGTAGAAAATACTTTATATCGCAAATCTAAAACAAGTCACCATCACACACACAAACCAGAGGCGTAATGTTTTTTCAGTAGCATTTACATGGCCAGAGCGGGAGAGAATGTCGCTGTACGAGTATGAGAACTATTTATAGCAGGAGAATATGGAACAAAAACAGTCAGGTATCAAGAATTGGGAATTGTGTGCAGTCTTCACTACAAATAAAATATAACCATATATATTCTGAATTTTTAGTTACTTGGTTGGTTCGTGTTTAACGCCGCACTCGTAAATAATCAAGTCTGGTCCAGGCAATCCAGTGATCAACAGCATAATAATTGATCTACGAAATTGGTATACGATGACATGTGTCAACCAATTCAGCGATCCTGACCACCCGATACCGTTAGTTGCCTTTTACGACAAGCGTGGGTTGCTGAAGACCAATTCCAACCAGGATTTTCACGGGTCTATTTTTTTAAGTATGTAACGCTGTGGATGGATGGATGGATGGATGGATGGATGGATATAGCACACCATATAGCATGTTGTCACAGAAGATATTTATAATTGTGTCTTACACATCTCATCACAGGTCAGTTTGGCATGTTCACATTCAACGCGGGGGTGTTTGGCAGCTTCCTTGTGTCTTCACTCCTGTCGATCATCGACTCGATCGCTGACTACAGCGCATGCGCACGTATTTGTCACGTGCCTCCACCCCCAGCACACGCGGTGAACAGGGGCGTGGCCGTAGAAGGCGTCATTAGCATCCTGACTGGTGGAATGGGCATCGGTAATGCTACGTCTTCATATGGAGGCAATATTGGCACTATTGGTTTGACCAAAGTAAGTACTTATTGTGGGAGAGATAGTATACGTATAATTGATTTTTTTACATCTAGAATCACCGCAAGACATGTGTATTGGGAGTGGGGGTCAAGGCACTACAATATTAAACTTTGTGTTAAATAATTAATTTTAAAGGAGTGAGTGTGTTTAGTTTTAAGCCAATTTTAGCAATATTCCAGCAATATCACAGCGGGGGAAACCAGAAATGGGCTTCACACATTGCACCCATGTGCGGAATCGAACCCGGGTCTTCGGTGTAACGAGAGAAGGCTTTAACTTCAAGCTTTAACGCTAATTTTCAAGGAAGGGTAGTTTTGCCTTTGTGACTATATTTGTCTGTCTTGGTTGATGGGATGGGAAAGTTCCTCATGCTCACCCTCCCAAACATTGGTAACGTCATTGTGTCATAGTGATTCATTAACACATGCTCATGAGATGGTCTGAATCGTACAATAAGCTCTGTTTTGGATTATCGTTTTGGTATAATGAATTCTATATTTTCAGGTTGCCAGTCGCCGGGTTATGCAGTGTGTGGGAATCATATTCATCGTATTTTCCGTACTCCCCAAGATCGGAGCTGTGTTTGTGACTATTCCCTACCCGGTTGTGGGAGGATCAATGGTTGTTCTGAATGGTCTGCTGGTGGGCGTGGCTCTGTCAAATCTACAGCCGGTAGATCTATCAGCTACCAGGAATCTTGCGATTATTGGAATGTCTCTGTTTGTGGGCATGATGGTGCCCTACTGGGCCGGGAACACTCCGGCTGGATTCAATACAGGTACTTCTCATCTACAATTAACAGAAGTTGGTTGTTTGGTTGGTTGTTTAACACCGCACTCAGCAATATTCCAGCTATATGACGGCGGTCTGTAAATAAGCGAGTCTGGACCAGACAAATCAGTGATCAACAGCATGAGCATCAATCTACGCAATTGGGATACGATGACATGTGTCAGCGAGCCTGACCACCCGATCCCGTTAGTCGCCTCTACGACAAGCATGGGTTACTGAAGATCAATTCTAACCCGGATCTTCACTGGTCATCATCAGAAGTAAAAGGAAGGAAATAACAAAATATGATATATATGCATGTATCTGAAATGTCCAGGCGTTGATAATTCACATTATCATAAAATAAATAGTGTTTATGAACCTGATAATATACCAGAAACTCCCTTTAGTGATATACTGTCGACAGACACGAAAAACGGTTATGTTCCCTAAATATTCAGAGGCTTCCAAAATTATGACAGCTTGTGAGAATAAAGCTGGATGCAAATCGTTTTGCTTTAAATTTTGACTGTGGCGCTCGCTCAGACATCATAATATTATACGGTTTCTTAAGCTATTTTATTGATGAAACATATGACTTAAACTTCCTTTATTTAAGAATATATTGATATAAACTGGAGACATTTTAATCTCAAATGTTTTTGCATCCTGAACTACAACACGGAAACACTGAACATTTCTATTTGTATCTGTCCTTATCTTTTAGGCAACGCGAACGCTGATTCAGTACTGAAGGTTCTTGTGTCAAATCCAATGTTCATTGGCGGAGGTTTGGCCTGCATTCTGGACAATACAATTTATGGTATGTTTCACCTTTCGTAAAACAACAATGCAGACAATTTGCCCAGGGGTATTTACCTGTTCACGAAACGATGACAATAGTTTACTTGATTTTTCCAAGCATCAGAAACATTCGTTAAGTTCAAAAGCAGTTAACCTAGTGGTTAAAGCGTTCGCTCGTCACGCCGAAGCCCTGGGTTCGATTCCCCACATGGGTACAATGTGTGAAGGCCATTTCTGGTGTCCCCGGCCGTGATATTGCTGGAATATGGCTAAAAGCGGCTTAAAACCATGCTCACTCACTCACACAAAAGGAGCGATGTGGTACCTGATTTGTACCCCGACACTATCATGACGTCATGTGGCTCGCAGTTACATGTTGAGGCGGACATTGTAAATTAACAGTTACGCATACATTTTTGCACGCCTCCTGTATGGGAAAATGGCCCAGGCGCCTTGCATCATGTGAAAAGAATATCGTCAATGAACATATCCTATCGGGAAATACACGACATATAACACAAGGAAGAGATTTTATTTTACCCGGAAACTTTGTCACTGAGGCAATCCCAAAGTTGTTTTGGCATAGGCTTTATAACATGTTATATAAAATAGTATTTTTCATTCGATATTCGCATATAAATCAGTGAGTATATGCTACTGTGTTCATATTTGAAAGATTTTGAAAGATTTGTTGCTATATAACTGTTGTAACCATCTTAACCAGGCACACGCAAGGAGCGAGGTTTGGATTGGTGCGAGGAAGCCTCTACCAAACATCCGGGTCATAAGAGGCCAGCAGACTTCCCGTATGAGGAAGGAATTGAAGTGTACGAGCCATTGTTCATCCCGGAAAGCTGGAAGCGATCTAAGTGGACCCGATTTTTCCCGGTCATACCAAATCACAATGTGGTATAACTGAAATCTACATATAATTTCTTAATTGAAATTTGGCATTTAATTCGTTAGCGCTTTCCCGTATTTAAAGACTAATATACCAGAAAGTGTGTCTGTAGTCCAAGGCCAAATGCTAGAAACATCCCTATCTTTCAGAATCTCTCAGCAGTAGAAGTGTTATCGAGTAATTAGTACACCTCCTACCCTCTGGAAATTCTTGTTGATATGGAACCAGCCACAGAATGGTACTAAACGGAGAAATTACAGAATCAGGCCCCGATTTCTCAAAACAAACTTAAGTTTTTACTCAAATTTCAAACTGAGGTTGACAATTTGAAACAGCTGAATTTTGAACTCAGCTGCATTTTTTACTTAATAAAAAGCCCAAAATACTTAAGTATTCTATTCACCAAACTCAAGTTGTCTACTATGTTTGAGTTTAATATCGATTTCAGTTCATTCTGGGAAATGCATTTTCTCAAATCTGAGTAAAAATTTGAACTTAAGTCAAAACTCAGACTTAAGTTTGTTTCGAGAAATCGGGGCCAGGTTGCTAAAATCCAACAAGGTGTACCCCACCGTTGAAACAGAGTCCATATGTTCATAGACCAACTGTATGAGTATTAACCGCATGGTCTAATAGACGGTGACAAGCACTGGTGTTCAACATGGTCAAGATATGCAGTATGGGCGATAAGGCCTGGTATTATATTACTTAATTTTGACGCTATCTCTACATTTGGCCTAGGAGTATTTGTAAAGACTGTAGTAGATGCACCGTGTGTTTGTTGGTTGCCGTAGTAGCATGTTTGACAGTGAAAATATTAAGTTATTTTAATCAGCTCTTGTAGTTGCCTGTAGTTACAGTAGCTATGGGGCGGTGGGGTAGCCTAGTGGTTAAAGCGTTCGCTCGTCATGTCAAAGACCCGGGTTCGATTCCCATCATGGGTACAATGTGTGAAGCCGATAGCCCATTTCTGGTGTCCCCCGACGTGATACTGCTGAAATATTGTAAAACGGCGTAAAACTAAACTCACTCAATAGGTGCCTTGGAATAGGAAATCAAGTGCAACAGTGCACGTTATGTTATATTTGTCATTTATTCATTTTTCTACAACTATGGAACGACAAATTACCTACGTCGTCATTAATTGTATTGAGACAGGGGTGAGACCAGCTGATCAGCATGTTCTACCCAATAGGGACAAGCCCGAAGTGGCCCATTCTACCCCGGCGCACGGGAACATTAACAATCATGAACTTATTCTCCTCGCTTAGAAGGGGGTCTTTTATATTGACTGAAGTTCTTCGTTCATATAGAAGAGTTTGTTTAGTTTTATTCCGCTTTTAGCAATATTCCCCCAATATCACAGCGGGGGACACCAGCAATGGGCTTCACACATTCTACCCATGTGGGGAATCGAACCCGGGTCTTCGGCGTGACGAGCGAACGATTTAACCACAAGGCTACCCACCGCCATAAAATAAATGTGAATGAGTGAGTGTGTATGGTTTATGATGCTTTTAACAGTAATCCAGCAATATCACAATACTCAATGTACCTGCTAAAGACAATCGTAAACACTCCATCCCCTATTGGATGATAGTCATGACATACTCGTGTTATCCCTCTTTGACTGTGTTTTATTGGTCCATTCACTGGCATTATATCCACAAACGCTCATAGTTGTCACAAACACTCTCAAATCAGAGCTTCTGGAGTTTTGTAATGAATTAATACCTTTAAAGGTGATGCCCAACAGTTATCTAGTTGTGATTGAACAAAGGGCTGGGTATTGCGGAGAAGTTTCATATTGCAATATATTGCGATGCGAAAGCAGATATTGCGATATGTATCGCAATATATTGCAAGAAGTTCTTTTTTAACAAAAACTACTTATAATCGAGTTAATGCTTGATTTATAAGGCAAAAACACAACAAAATCACCATGCTTGATTAAGTTTAATAAAAGCTTTTAATCATGACAAAATAAAAATGTAAATAATATTTGGCACAAATAAGAAAAGGAAAGGAACAATTTATGAAACGGAAATATCCGAAGATTTCCGAGTGTTACGTAGTTTTCCGAATGCATGTCAAAATACCGGTTTTCGATCAGCGTATCGCAATAGTATCGTTTTCATATCTGAACCGGTATATACCGGTAAACCGGTTATATTGCGCAGCCCTACTGGGCATGGGTAGTGCAGTTTAACGCCTATATGTTTTATGTAGATATGAATTCGTAGTTCATCAAAATATACGAACCTGTGGTATATTTAAATGCAGCTGCTATTTTGCAGGCATCAAGTTATCCATCTTTTACTGATGCCCAGGCAGCGTCTGAAACCCACTAACCTTGTCAATTGTCCACTCACATTAATCAGACCGTGTAACGAAATAGTAGTGTGCCTATTCAGGCAAGTGGCAGGTTGAATGTCCGCATGGCGTTGAACATGCATTTGAATCTATACATACTGATCTGTTGAACAAGTCGATAATGGAGTGCGCATCTAATATTGTATTCTTCGGGGTAGCATATTGTGCCTCTTCAGGTTTGCGACAGCTTGTGTGGGTTCATATCCACATGGCGTTGAACATACATTTGAATCTATACATACTGATCCGTCGAACAGGCAAATAATTGAATGCTTCAAACATGGAAGACTGTAGGATAACATATTATAAGTTGTATGCTTCTCTCGAGGGTAATACGGTCTGATGTACGCCTCTTTGTAGCAGTGTTACCCGAGTCGGTAAACAAAATGGCGTCTGCCTCTCGACTGGATTTTTAAAATCAGTGAAACATATTCAGACAGGCTTAAAACTGCTATAAAATGGTTACTTATGTTTCAGTTGAGTGTTCAAACGCGGATTCAATGTATAAAATAGTATAAAGCAGGGAAAGTCGGTGAAATAAATGTCTACATAGTGATCCCCAAAACAGCTCATCGAACGGTTTTCGAACTCCGGGCACTACATGCGTCTTATTATGACGTCATACGATTGTTAGCGATACAGCTTCTCGGCGGAGAGTTTGGTGGTTACCGTGGCAGCGAGTAAATTTTTTCCAGTTGTCACCCTCCTGGGAGGGGCGACACGGAAACTTGTTAAAACGTCATTGACCAATGAAATTCAAGTATTTTACATGAAGGTAAAATAATGTGCTGTACAAATCGCTTGCAATTATGTAGACATTTATGCATATTCGGAGTTTGTGAATCCTTCTAGACTCTCAGAATTTATTCTGGTAGACATATGGCGGACATTTCAAAATTTGACATCTTTGACATCTTGACAAAATTGATGTCCGCTGCAATATCTTTTTTCAATTTTGTAACATGTACAGCAGAATACTTTTATAACGAACACGGATATAACGAACTGACGGCTATAGCGAACTGTTTTACTGTATATTACCGTGTTTGTTCTGGGGAATATTTGACATGCCGTTGCATGTGTTTATGTATGACAGGTTCCACTAGTGGAACAGGATACGCTCAGAATATATCTGGAAATATCTGGTATCATCACTATTTGATTGTGATTGATAAACAAGTTCTCGTGTGACAGTCGGTATCCATCCTTTGTAGCAGAAAGTTATTGTGATTATGGAAATGGATTTGTCACATTTATTTCAATGTCGTTTATTTAGAAGTCAGTATAATGTCTTACAACCGTTAACATGTCCAAGGAAGTACATATTGTGTAACCTCTTAACATCACCAAATATATAACGTCATTAAAAAATATCAACCAATGGATTTTACCACATTGTCTTTACCACATATCCAGTATGCCACATTGCGTCACATATGTACTGCAACCACATGCAGTATGCCGCATGGTGTAACATATTTACTGCAACCATATCCAGTATGCCACATGGTGTAACATACTTACTGCGACCATATGCATGTCAAATGTAATAGCATATTTACTAAAACTATATGCATGTGACATGTAACATATTTACTAAAACCATATGCATGCCACATTGCGTCACACATTTACTGCAACCACATGCAGTATGTGACATGGCGTCACATATTTATTGCAACCACATGCAGTATGCCACATGGTGTCCCACATTTACTGCAACCACATGCAGTATGCCACATGCTGTCACATTTACTCCAACCACATGCAGTATCTGACATGGCGTCACATATTTACTGCAACCATGTGCATGTCACATGGTGTCGCATATTTACTGCAACAACATGCAGTATGTCAAATGGTGTCCCACATTTACTGCAACCACATGCAGCATGTCAAATGGTGTCACATATTTCAAATGGTGTCACATATTTACTGCAACCACATGAAGTATCTGATATGGCGTCACATATTCACTGCAACCATGTGCATGTCACATGGTGTCGCATATTTACTGCAACCACATGCAGTATGCCACATGGTGTTGGATATTTACTGCAACCATATCCAGTATGCCACATGGTGTAACATATTTACTGCAACAATGTGCATGTCACATGGTGTCGCATATTTACTGCAACCACATGCAGTATGTCACATTGCGTCACATATTTCCTGCAACCATGTGCATGTCACATGTTGTCGCATATTTCCTGCAACCACATGCAGTATGCCACATGGTGTCACATATTTACTGCAACCACATGCAGTATGTGACATGGCGTCACATATTTGCTGCAACCATATCCAGTATGCCACATGGTGTAACATATTTACTGCCCCCATATGCAGTATGTGAAATGGCGTCACATATTTACTGTAACCATATCCAGTATGCCACATGGTGTCACATATTTACTGCCACCACATGCAGTATATGACATGGCGTCACATATTTGCTGCAACCATGTGCATGTCACATGGTGTCACATATTTACTGCAACCATATCCAGTATGCCCCGTGGTGTTAGATATTTACTGCAACCATATCCAGTATGCCACATGATGTAACATATTTACTGCAACCATATCCAGTATGACATATATGTCAAATGTAACCTATTTACTAAAACCATATGCA